AACATTATAGGATACAAATCCATGTAGAGAAATCTATTGCATTTTTCTACATGAAGCAATAGGAAGAGAAAATAAGAAAGCAATCTCATTTACAATTGTACCAAGATAGTAAAATACCTAAAAACAAACTAAACCAAGATGAAAGACCTGTACCCTGAAAACTACTGATTAAATTGAAGAAGACACAAATAAATGGAAAGATATTCCACGCTCATGGCTTGGAAGAACAAATATTGTTAAAATGTCTATATTACCCAAAGCAATCCACAGATTTAATACAATCCATATTAAAACACCAAAAGCATTCTTCACAGAGCAAATAATCCTAAAATTTGTATGGAACCACACACATACACACAAAATAGCCAAACAAGCTTGAAAAAGATCACAATTCCAGATTTCAAGTTATACTACAAAGCTATAGGAATCAAAACAGAATAGTACTGGCACAAAAACAGACACACAGATCAATAGAATAGGATAAAAAGCCCAATAACAAACCCATGATTATATGGTCAACCAACATTTTGAAAAAAGAGGCAAGAATATGCAATGGGAAAAAAGACGGTCTCTTCAACAAATGGTGCCAGGAAAACATGACAGCTACATGCAAAAGAATGAAATTGGACCACTTTCTCACACCATACATAAAAAATAAACTTAAAATGGATTAAGGACCTAAATGTGGGGCCCGAAACCAAAAAACTCCTAAAAGAGAGTTTTAGCACAGGCAGCAATTTCTCTGACATTGGCTGAAGTGGTATTTTTCTAGATATGTCTCCTGAGGCAAGGGAAATAAAAGCAAAAAATAAACTTTTGGGACTACACCAAAATAAAAAGCTTCTGTACAGCAAAGGAAACCATCAACAAAACTAAAAGACACCCTACTAAATGAGAGAAGATATTTGCAAATGACATATCCAGTAAAGGGTTACTATCCAAAATATATTTAAAAATTACACAACACCTAAAAAGCAAATAATCCAATTTAGAAATGGGCAGAAGACATGAACAGACATTTTTCCAAAAACATCAGATGGCCAACAAACACATGAAATGATGCTCAACATCACTCATCATCAGGGAAATGCAGATCAAGACTACAATGGGATATCACCTCACACCTATCAGAATATTTAGTACCCCAAAGAAATAACAAGTGTTGGTAAAGATGTGGAGAAAAACACTATATATACACTGTATATATCATCTCTAAAAATAAAACATTACAGATAAAACTAAACTTTCAAGAGGTTTGGTGCTGCATCCTTTATACTTTTATATGTGTATGTACCTACAAACAAAATATTGTACTGTTTTTAAAAATTCAATATAGTTATTATCCTACAATTTGCCTTTTTCATTCAAAATGTTTTTGAGGCTCATATGTGCTATATACAAATCTATTTAATTCCTTTTAACTTTTTGATAGCATTTGGATAAGCAATTAAGTTGCTTAATGAAGTTGCTTGGTATACAATTAAGTTGTCTCTAGTTTTCAAATATTACAAACAATACTGCAATTAACAGCTTTTTCTTATGCATATGTGTAAGCATATCTAGAGTAGGATCTCTTAAATATTTCTGACTATGGACCAACAGTAAGAAATACATTTTCTTCATGATCCTATATAGGCATACAAATATATTTCTCTATGTATATGTATAAACTGAAACAGTGGCATGAAATTTTACCTTTGCGTATGATGTATTTGGGTAGTTTCTTTTTAAAAAATATTTTATTGTTTTTACTTATTTATATTTTAAAGATTTATTTATTTTAGAGAGAGAGAGAGAGCGAATATGAGTGGGAGAGGGAGTAGGAGAGGAATCTGAAGCAGACCCAGTGCCAAGCATGGGGCCCAAAGCAGGGCTCAATCCCACAACACGAAGATCAAGACCTGAGGCTGAAACCAAGAGTCAGACACACTTAACTGACTGAGCCACCCCGGCACTCCTAAAGATTTTTTTTAAAGATTTTGTTTACTTATTTGACAGACTGAGAGCGCGAGCGAGCGCGCACGCACAAGCAGGGGGAGCAGCAGAGGGAGAGGGAGAAGGCGGCTCTCCACTGAGCAGGGAGCCCAATGTTGGGCTCCATCCCAGGGCCCTGGGATCATGACCTAAGCCGAAGGCAGATGCTTAAACAACTGAATCACTCAGGTGCCCCAAGATTTTATTTTTAAGCAATTTCTACACCCAACGTGGGCTCAAATTTAACCCTGAAATCAAGAGTAGCACAATCTACTGACTAAGCCAGCCAGGTCCCCCTTCGGTATTTTCTTTACTATTTAAATTTTTTAAAATGCTAGTTACAATCGCTTTAATGATTTTACCTCCCATTAAATCTGTAGCTTGGAAAACAATGCTCTAGATATACTTAAAAGTACTATTGCTGGGAAATATGTATGCATGTCCTCAATGGCTATGTAATTGTTTGAACATCACCCTGTCAAATGACTGGTCTGGCTTGGTATAGAATTCTAGTTTTACATTTATTTTCCTTTGGCATTTTAAGCTAATCTGCCTCTGTTTTTGTCTTTATTTCTGATGAGAACTGTGTTGTTAGTCAATTTTTTTCTGACAGTGTTTGAATATATTCTTTACCATAGATACTTCTTAAATTTTCAGCTATTAGCTCTTTAAATGTTGCTCTTTTCTTCTTCTCAGATATATTCTAGGGTTTCTCATTTTATCCTTCACAGTTTTTAATCTGTAAATTGTCTTCCTCAAGTCTTCATCGTTTTTAATTGGAAAGATCTCTTTCATTTTGTCTTGCAACTCACTAGTGCTTTCTAATTATTCTCCAGCTATATGAGCTCTACCATTGAGTCCATCTATTTAGTTTTTTTTATTTCTGTGACCACACGTTTTATTTCCCACATTTTCAATTTTTTTTATATATACACCTTTTTTAATATATACACCTTTTATATATACACCTGGCCCCCTAATAGCCTTTACTTATTTCATGGATGTTAACATTGTAATCTCTCTGAACATTTTAAATATATCTATTTTAAAGTCTCTTTTTGGGGCGCCTGGGTGGTTCAGTCAGTTGAGCAACTGACTCTTGAATTCAGCGTGGGTCATGATCTCAGGGTTGTGAGATTCAGCCCCATGTTAGGCCTGCACTCAGTAGAGTCTGCTTGTCCTTCCCTCTCTGCTCTCCTATGTTCTTTCTCGCTCTCTCTCTCTCAAATAAAATCTTTTTAAAAAAATAAAGTCTCTTTTAATCATATTTATTTCATATTCTTCATGTGTGAATGCTCCCATTTGTTGGGACTCATGCTGCCTTCGTGGTCCTACACACCTTTGTATGCTACTGAAATCCTACCTTTCTATGCAGTTTACTCCTGGGTGCTCCTTTATGTTGACTCCTTTCCTCATTGCTCTGGCTGTGACTATGGGTTTCACTGCTCTAAAACCAGGTGTTGTTAATCCCATTCTAGGCTATGTGAGATAATTAGCTTACTTTCCAGTCCTGTAGAGGTCCCTGCCTGTTTCCATCCCCTGGAGAACTCAGTGCCCACTCTCTGCCATGCATGGGACATGTTTAATTCCCACTCCTGTAAGAGTTAAAATCCCTAGCCACAGTGCTTGTGTCATTTCCAGATCCCAGCAGGTTTCAGCCTTTGCTTTTGTGATTTCTGTTGTAGTTTCCGACATATAGATGAAAATATGTAAAATGGTGGTACATGTTATATAAAGGTTAGTGTCTACAGTGTTAAAGCAAAAATCATATAGAGTCGGGGTGCCTGGGTGGTTTAAACGTCTGACTCTCAACTTTGGCTCCGGTTATGATCTTAGGGTCATGAGATCGAGCCCCACATTAGGCATCCCACATTAGACTCCACACAGGGCGTGAGATTCTCTCTCTTCCTCTCTTCTTCTTCTCCCTCTCAAAATAAAATTTTTCTCTCAGATAAATTTTTATAAAAAATCACATATAGTCAAGTTTCTTAAAAAAAAAAAATCTTATAAACTGACCATTAAGTAAACATTGTGCAACAGTTTTTTTCTCCAGGACTGAGAGACTGGGCTTGGCCACACGTCAATTATATTTAGACAAAATATTAAAACAAAACAAAACAAAACAAAAAACCCCCTTATTTTAAAACAGAATAAAACCTGGCACTGTGAGAGACTTGCTCTATGAAAGGCCTAAAGGAACTGAGCCAAATTGAGGTAACAGATTTATATATCTCCTCTCATACTTCAATTAACTGAGATGGTTAAACTATTGTCTATATTATTTAAATTATTTTTTTCTCTTTTTTTTTCTTTTGCCTAGTACAGGTAGCTAAATTTGCATTAAATTAAATGTATATAATAGAACTCCACTCCATATATGCCTACCTACATGTATCTCACATACCCTTAAAATAAATTTTTCAAATTCTTACTATATTAGAACATGTTTTTTTAGTGGAATGCCAATGTTATGAGAATATGAATTAAAAGCACCTCTGACTTTATAAAGAAGTAGCAAGGAAATATTTGTAAAAGTAAAATAAGACATATAACAAAATGGTAAAGAGCATGGGTTCAAACACTGACTCTTTAGTTTGTTTGCCCTATGACCTTAAAATTGGCTTCTCAACTTTCTCATTCATAACACAGAAGTAGTATTACCTACTTCACAGGGTTTTGTGAGGATTACGGAAAAAACTATATGTAAAGCACTGTGTAACAAGTGTATGTGTAACACTGTAAGTATCTGGCACTGCTACATGGCATTAGCTAGACTTGTTGCTATTATGATTATGGTACTAGATTAAAGGAAATACTCATCTTTGGAAGAAATAACTTTCAAATTACTATAATATTTGGAAAAGAGTTCTCTTTTCTATTGCTAGTGATAGAGTATATTTTCCATCTTAGATTCCTAGTGAACGGAGTTTAGACTGACAAACAGACAAACTGATACACAGCAGGACTTCCTGACAAGTACCCCTATATTCAGAAGACTTTTTGAAATGTCATGTTTTTCTACTCACATGTCTATGCAGCCCTCAGAACAGTCACATGAATCAGTAAGCATGTTGGTAAAGCTATTTAGGTAATATGCACGTGGCCACATAGTCCTTCTGTACTTAAACTGTGGAAGCTTTCTATTGTCAATCTCATTACAGAAAGAAATGGGTACCGATTCCACTCCATGGCTAATATCCATATCAGAAACAATTTCTTCTTGTTTTGGGTAATTCCGAGTCAACTGAACATAGGTATTGAAAGAAAAGTTATCTGTAAACAAAAAGTTACACTCTGTCTCAAGCAGGTAACGGAAAACTTCTTCGACGTTTCGTAGACTCCTTCCACAAGGGGTTTTATAACTCACATGGAGTGCTGAAGAATGAGAGTTTGTCTTTGCATGTCGTCTTTGGAAATGGCATTTGATCGGTAGCTGCAGAGGGTTTTCTCCCTTGAAGGTTAGTGGTACTTTAATTAGACAAGTTCGAGAACAATCATGACTTCGGTAAGATAGATTCAAAGATGATTTCTTTTCTCTGATGTATGCAACCTTATTTGCCAAAGGAGGAATTTCCTTATTTTTTGTGGATCTGTTTAAAATTAATTACTCATTAGTATTTCAAATATATGTAATTCCCCATTTTTAAAAAACAATGCACACTAAGGTATAAATTAATTCCTATTTTTTTTTTAGATATCACTAAAACAAGCCAGACTCTGATATAAACATTTTACTTATCATGTTCTATAACCATATAAAAGTTACACCTCAAGGGTTTTTTCCCCTCTGGACACCAAATACATGGTGTCTTTTTCTAGCTCCACCTCTTCAACTGAGTGTACAATAATTCAGTTCAGTTATGACACTATGTGCCTAGAGCCCAGCCTCAGATACCAGAAGTTAAAGGCCTCAGTCCCAACAAGATTGTCCCCACTTCAGATGCCAAACGTAAGTTCCAGGCCACCTAAACCTCTGACCAACTCAGGCGTTTCCACATGCCCTCCTCAGGTTTGATAATTTGCTAGAAAGATTCACTTTAATTACTATTACAGTAATATTACTATGCTTTAATTACTATTACCAGTTTATAATAAAAGATACAGCTCAGGGATAGCCACATGTAAGACATACATAGAGCAAGGGAAGTGGGAAGGGGCATGGAGCTGACCTACCCTCTCCATGTGTGCTACCCTTCCAACACCTCAAAGCCTTCAACTAGGAAGCTTATAGAACCCTGTCCACTTAGAGGTTTTTAGGGAGACTTCACTATGTAAGCATCACTGATTAAATCATTTGCTGTTGGAGATTATCTGAATCTCCAGCCCTTCTCCCCTCACTGGAGGCTGGTAGGTAGGAATGAAAGTTTCATTCTTCTTCTTCTTCTTTTTTTTTTTTTTTTTTTAAAGATTTTATTTATTTACTTGAGAGAGAGAGAGAGAAAGCATGAGAGGGAAGAGGGTCAGAGGGAGAAGCAGACTCCCTGCTGAGCAGGGAGCCTGATGCGGGACTTGATCCCAAGACTCCAGGATCATGACCTGAGCCAAAGGCAGTCGCTTAAGCAACTGAGCCACCCAGGCGCCCAACTTTCAAGCTTCTAGTGGAGGTTTAATTTTTCGTGACCAGCCTCCACCTTGAAGCTAACTGAGAGCCCATTACCAAGTCATTTCATTAGCATGCCAAAGATACTCATTCTTCAGGAAATTCCAAAAGTATTAGAAGCTAAATGAGCGACCAGGACAAAGACCAAATATTCTTCCTATTATACCACCACTTAATTTCAGAATATCCCCAGGAAATTGTGATGATAGCTGTAACTCTGCTACAGCATCTACCATTTAGAGCATGCACTTTGAGGAATGTTACTTCTTTAGGCATGCTTGGTTAGAAATTCTTGCTTGTAAAAACCAGGAAGGGCTAGCTAAAAAACAAAACAAAACAAAACTAATTCATCAAGAATCCTGCAATAATTATGCCAACTGGATTTCTTCTGTAATGTGTATTCCACCTGGCCTCATACTGACATATATGAAAATGATCAGCTGACACTAGAAAACGGAGAGGTTACTGATTTTAAGAAAAAAACAAAAATCTGAGAGAAGATTCCATGTGTATAGAACTTGAGATTTAATCTTTCATAAAGTACTTAAGTTTTGTTTTACCTAATATTTTCTATCTTTAGAAATCTGTTATTTATTATAAAAGTTATATAGGTATTTTAGAGATATTTTTATGCTCACTATATTAAGCAGCACCATCAATAACTTTTTGCATTGATAGAAATGGTCTGTACCTGGGCTGTTCAATTTCATAGCCCTGCTAGCCACATGTGGCTATTGAGAACTTTAAATGTGGCTAATGTAACCAGAAAACTGGTTTTTAAATTTAATTTTGATCAATTCAAATTTAATTTTATTCGAATAATTCAAATTTAAATAGTCACATGTAGCTAGTGGCTACTATACTGAATGCACTGATATGAGGTTCTCCATCCCTTTTCCAGCTATAGAACTCCTCTGCATAAATCCCACAATTTATTTAACTAGTCTTCTATTGTTTCCAATCTTTTGCTATCACAAATCATGAAGTAATGAATAACCTTGTACATAACAATTTCAAACATGTAAAGATAACACTTCAGAATATGTTTCCAGAAGTGGGAGTACTAGGTCAAGGGTAAATGAATTAGTAATTTTGTTAAGATTGCCAAACTGGGAGTGCCTGGGTGGCTCAGCAGGTTAGGCCTCTGCCTTCGGCTCGGGTCATGGTCTTGGGGTCCTGGGATCGAGCCCCACGTCGGGCTCTCTGCTCGGCGGGGAGCCTGGTTCTCCCTCTCTCCCTGCCTACTTGTGATCTCTCTCTGTCAAATAAATAAATAACATCTGTTAAAAAAAAAAAAAAAAAAAGATTGCCAAACTGTTCTCCATTCAGTCCTTCCAGCAATTTATGAGTGCTTGCTTTTGTCAAGCCTCATCAATCAATGGCTCCTGATGCTCTGGAATGTCCTACAATGTAATACATGAAAGGATGTACTGTATTTATAAATCTTTTAATGATAAAAATATTTGTTTTCAATTTTCCTATAGGTCACTACTTTGATGAACATCCTCATACATATCCTTGACCAAATTCCTGATTATTAACGTACAATACATCCTTTAAGATGAATTACTGGGTAACAAGAATACACGTTTTAAAATAACTTCTTATTGGGGCACCTGGGTGGCTCAGTGGGTTAAAGCCTCTGCCTTCGGCTCAAGGTCATGATCCCAGGGTCCTGGGCTTGAGTCCTCATCGGGCTCTCTGCTTAGCAGGGAGCCTGCTTCCTCCTCTCTCTCTGCCTGCCTCTCTGCCTACTTGTGATCTCTGTCTGTCAAATAAATAAAATCTTTAATAAATAAATAAATAAATAAACCTCTTATTAATAATTGGGGAGGGTATGTGCTATGGTGAGTGCTATGAAGTGTGTAAACCTGGCGATTCACAGACCTGTACCCCTGGGGATAAAAATATATATGTTTATAAAAAATAAAATTAAAAAAATATATATATAAAAAAACAAACAAAAAAACAGTAAAACAAAAAAAACCAAAAACAAACAAAAAAAACCGTGCAAACTTACATATAGCTGTGTATTTTTCTCATTAAAAAAAAAAAAAAAAACCTGCTATATTGGACTCCCACATACTTGCAAGCACTGTAGAACTCTCAGCACACAGTATCTCTATCCAAACTGGTGCGCTAAGTCAACCAAACTCTAGCAAGGCTTCTAGCAGCATAAGGCCATGTCTCTAGGAAGACCCAAGTCTCCCATGGATGTGCTGCCTGAGAAAGCTCAAGGCTGTCGGGAGAGTTTAAGGTTTCTGCTAGCCAACACCTGAAGATAAGCCCCTCCACCTTTCTTAGAGCATTTACTAAAAAGGGCTTACAATTGTGAATCTTTCCTCCATTCCTCAAAGATGTGTATTTAATTCCTACAACTCAGGAGTACATTTCTCCAGGTCCTGAAGGCCCTTCCCTTGAAAGTTAATCATCCAGGAAGCATAGGGCCTCTGTCTGCCAGTCTCTGTGGGAGGATAAATATTAACTTTGATGGTTTTCAGCTAGCATATACAGCTGGCCTCAGAGGCATTCACACTGACTCTCTGTAATTTTTCACTTGAGCTCCCTTCTTCCTCTATCTCTACTTCCTCATTCACCTCTAAAACACCAGTCACCCCAGCATAAATTTGAATGGAGCTCAGCTTTTCCCCTACTGTCAGTAGTGACTGAATAAAACCAGTTCATCACTTTAATGTCTGGTTTTGTTTATCTTTGACACTTGTTACCAAACTTCAACTATCAACATGTTGCCTGTTTTACTTCTGTTCTTCCTCCTCTTGCCCCACACTAGAATATGCTTAAGTATTTTAAAGCAAATCCTAAACACTACCTGAAATAATTTAGTATGTGTAACTAACAAGGCTTTTAAAAAACATACAATCACAATGACTCATCTTCACATTTTGGTTTTGGTTGTTTGAAATAGAATTCAAAAAGTCCCACACACTTTATTTGATTCAGATGTCTTTTCGCCTCTAATCTTATGGCAATATCCCCTCCCTCTTCATTTTATGACATTTATTTGTTGAAGTTTAATAAGTTGTGTTATTTGTCCTATAGCATTTCCCCCATTCCAGAATTTGGTTGATGCTTTCCTTGTGGTGATGTCATTTAACTCATCCCTCTGTCCCTCTATTCGGTAAATCAGTAGTCAGTTCTAGAAGCTTGATTAGATTTAAGTTCTTAGGCTGGGAGGGGTTGTTCTAGATTTTTCTTTCACTTAATCGTTTTGTTATTCACTCATGATCATTGTCTAAGCCAATGCTACTCAAGGTGTGGCGGTGTCAGTCCCCAGTGGTTTGCTACCAATTCACAAGTACAAAAATAACAAAGATGCAAAAGTTTAGAAACTTACAGCAATTTAACATTGCTGGAACATCTCATTGCATGTATTTCTCAAAAAATTTGAAGTTTCAAACAAAACAAAAACCTGTGCTTATCACCATTAATTTGACAGCACTGGCCTAATTTCTTTGGGGATGGGAGACGTTGTAAAAATAACAATTTTCTAATTCTACCATTTCTACTGCATTGCCTGGCTGTAATTCTTTGATAAAGAAGAGATTTTCCTCATCAACTCTTGGGTTATCTGAAATACAGTGAATATAGGAGAAGCAGGATAAATGCTTGATTCTTTTTCTTTATTTACTAGAATTCAGAATGGTGAGTTGTATTCCAGCAACTACCAAAGTGACTGATTTTTAAAATGTTATCAGGAACCCATGGATTTTTAATCCATGTTTTAATGTGTTTAAATCAGTCACAGTGATTATTCCTTTAGACGTTCAAATTGTGTGATTTTTGGCCAGTGGGAGCTCCTCCAAGTTTGCTCCTACATCTTTCTAACACACTTGGTAGTCTTTCATAGCTTTCTTTGCTTTCTGTCCTAAGAAGTCTCAGGTCTAGAATCAGCCATTCCTCCAAAGTCATTCCTGCTTAATGAGAAATAACATTTAGAGATCACAATCATGGTGCTAGGAGGTACACACA